GCAAGTCCTTGAAGATCCGGATGTAACAGAGCACAAGTTTATTTTTACCGAAATACCATCAGATAACTCGCAAGGAAAAAAATTCAGGTATAAATACGGAGAAATTAATAAGGTTAAGCTTAGTGAAGCATTCAAATATAGCATACTGGGCAAGTCACCAACTATGTCAGCTTACAAAATGGCAAAAATAATTCGCGCAGCATGCCATAAAAGTACTCCGACTGTCCGTTGTGATGAAGACTTCCAGATGCCGTACTGGTGGAACGAAGATATCCAAACAAACATTTTAGAAGTAAAAAACAAGAGAAGAAGGTTTCAACGATAAACAAGAAACGATGATCTTCGCGAGCTCTATAAACGTACCTACAAAGAAGCAAAGCAGGATCTATCTCAAAAGATCAGAATTGCAAAAATAAGTTCATGGGAAAAACTTTGCGATGACTTACAAGAAAATGTTTACAGTCAAGCATACAAGATAATAACATCCCAGATGAAAAAAATGCCACCCAGAGTTCAAATGGACCCAGAAGAAAAAATCAAACAGTTTAACGCTCTATTTGTATATGAGAGACAAACCTGGACTCAACCAAATAATATACAAACTGTGATAAGAGAATGTGATATTTTTTGTGATTCAGATATAATAAATGCTGCCAAAGATATAAAAATTAACAAATCTACGGGCTATGATAATTTGCCACCAAATGTGATAAAAACGCTAATATTGGACAATGTAGAATATTTTAGAACATTTTTCAATAACTTTCTTCAGAGAAATGAATTCCCTAAAGAATGGAAGAGATCCAAATTAACCCTAATAGAGAAACCCCGGAAGCACCTAAATGATCCACCAAAATATCGTCCGATTTGCCTCATTGATGTAATCGGGAAAGTCTATGAGAAACTCATCAATACGCGACTCTTGGAAGAAATTAGGAAGAAACGAAATGGTATGCATCTAAACCAGTATGGATTTGTAAAGGGGAAATCAACCACACATGCAATGAAGAAAATATCGGATATCGTGAAAAGAAAAGCCACTTGGCATAATGCTTTGATTTTAGTCGACGTTAAAAATGCATTTAATTGCGCGTCATGGGAAATAATTATTAAAGAACTTAGAAGATGGGGCATAAGTGGCTATTTGGTGAACATAATAAGAAGCTATCTTGATAATAGATCTATAGTTCTCAATAGAGAAGATGAAAGAGAGGTATTCGGTGGCGTCCCACAGGGCTCGGTGCTGGGGCCAACTCTGTGGAACATATTATACGACAGTGTCATGGAGCTTACTGTACCAGGTGGGACAGAGTTGATCTGTTATGCCGATGATCTTGCTGTGATAATAACAAAAAAAACTAAAAGAAACAAAAAAATAAACGACCTCGACCTAATGCAGACTGTGGATGATACACTAAAGATCATAGCCAGATGGATGAGTGAGCACAGACTCGAAATAGCTGTGGAAAAAACAGAGGCGATTTTACTGAGCCGCAAGAGAAAAGTTGACCATATAAGGTTTAATTTTAAGGATATAATAATAAATCCAGTAAAGCAAGTCAACTATCTTGGATTCCACATAGACGTGCACTCACGATGGGCCTGCACATCAAGGAGGTGTGTCTGAAATCACAACGAACTGCTAAAGCGTTGTCCGCAATACTGCCAAACGTTCGGGGCCCAACATCAGCAAAGAGAAGAGTGTTAGCATATGCGTACCAGAATATTATTATGTATGGAGCACCTGTGTGGAACGAAGCAACCAATATGCACGTAAATAAAAAAAGACTTGAAGGTGCACAGAGAGTCATGGCTTTGAGGGTCTGCTCGGCGTATCGGACAACTTCAACTGAGACAGCCTTGGTGATATCGGATCTGGTGCCCTTGCATCTTCTCTCAAGAGAAAGAGAACGACTCTTTCTCAAGGGTGAAGTACAAACCAGAGCAGGCAGAGAGATGGAGAGAAACCGCACAGTGCAGCAGTGGCAGGCAGAATGGGAAGTATCACAAAAAGGTGGCCACGGAAATTTTGGGAGTTACCTGTGTAAAATTGGAAAGAGGGAAGTCGCGAAATGCCGATACTGTGCTGAACCCAATGATAGTCCAGAACACACAATGTTTGCTTGTCCAAGATGGGAATAGGAAAGATGTGAAGCACGCATGACGATTAGTGGCAACATCTCCGCAGATACCTTCTTAAAATCGGTAACAGAAAGAAGAGAAAACTTTGAAGCCATCTCAAAACTGGCCCAAAATATACTAGAGGCAAAACACAGCGAAGAGCAAGGGTAATGAAACAAAAAGGAACAGTCCGGCGTCTACTTGAGGAGATGCGTCCAGCGGGTCCAGGTAGACGTGGCAGGAGCGAGGTGGTGATGTTTAGTGGATAGTGTCCTCCAGGTCGCTTAAGGAGAGAGTGATAAGGTGTTCTAGTGTTTCCCCATTTTTCCCACAGAATCTGCAATCGCCGTTGCTTCTCAGCTTCTGCCTACTGAGGTATTCGTTGATGAGACAGTGTCCTGTTAGAAACCCCGTGACAATCCAAAGAAAAATCCCGCTTGGAAAACAGTTCTGATCCAGTTAGTGGAGTGTTCGCTCCTTGTCTAGCTACATCATTGGGTTTTCATTGCCTTCTATCCCTTGGTTAGTAGGCATCCAGAGTAAGAGGACTTTATTTTCTTTGCCTAATTTGTTGAGCTTCTCTAGGCATTCTTTAAACAACTTCGAATTGATGTTTACTGAGTTTACCGCGTTTAGTGTTGCTTGACTATCGGATAAGATGTCTATTTCCTATTTTCGATAGTTCTTATCTAAGATAAATTGTACGCATCTTTCGATAGCGTATATTTCTGCCAGAAGGATGCTAGGGTTGGTGCTCACTGATTCGGAGAGATTCCCTGCTTTGGTTTTGGAAACATCAGTATACCACGTTATGGTATGGTATTTTACATGCTGAGCATCTTTCGTTCCTCATACTTCCTTCCTTCCATAGTTCCTTCCTCATCATAGTTTCTTTCTTCCAATCCTTTTTATTACTCAATACTACAGTGAGGTGTTTCTCAAAGTTGTAAATTCTTGGTATGCCATCAACTGCGAGCTGGAGAAGTGTATATTTTATCATTTTTGAAATTCTGCATAGATTTTGTTTATAATGTTTTATATTTAAGTTTAATTGCTTATGATATATTTTCAATTTTGTCTAAAATAGAATTTGAGGAGCTGAAATACATTTTCAATTGTTTAACATTGATGTACCTTTTTATCTGTTTATGATTTATTTAAGTTTTTATAATAATTGACTGAATAAAAAACGGATTCATTTGTTATTTGGTTCTTGGTTTTCATAGACAGTCTATTATATTAGATAGGTACATTTTTAATTATTAGGAATTTAAATGTGTCTAGTGGATTGCTTTCTAGAGTGGATTGCTTCTATGGCGATTTCGGACGGCGGGGAAAGAAAATGCTGAAAAAAAATATTTATTACATAACCACTTAAATATCGGATTCCTACAAAGCGTATATTTTTGCGAGCGTTTTCACCAACCAATAGTACAGCCGCTTTGATGGTGTAAATGTAATTAATATACGGTGCGGTAAAATACTGCCGCTGTTTGCTTTGAGTTAATTTAAGTCATAGAAAAATCTATAGTAAATAAATAATATTATATTTATATAATATTATTTATTATATAATATTTGTTTTAGTTTTTCTATGGTTTAAATCAATACATTGTAATAATACACAAATATTGTACACTTTTTTTGTTAAGGGGGTGGTTTAAACGTTTTTTTTAAGAACCTTTTATAGGCGAATAGTGAACGTTCCCACCACCATCTCGTGGGAGATCATAAAGACGAACCCTAGACGTTGTGCGACTCGGATTGTTAATCACTAAAAATATTCCATCTCCGAGGAAACAGCTGCCGAAGTATGATCAGCTATTATTCCTACTAATATTGGGGAGAAAAAAAGGGGTTATTTATAGGGTTTTTGGGAAGACTATTTTAAAGGAAGGAGGGGGGAGACAAAGTTAATTGTTCAGAAGAATAGTTTTCAGATGCATGGGGATATTTGAAGTTTTTATAGTCCTTGGAATTGTAATTTAAGAGTTTTATGGTGTAGAACGGTGTAGTTTATGATTTTCTAACAGGATGTAGAGATGGTACCAATTTTCTTCTCCTAGAACCAACGGTAGAACTTCAAGGCACGATCTCTAATATATTTAGGGATGTAGTCGATGCGGAAGTCGGTGCGGATGTCGGAGTTGTGTAAATACCAGTGCGCTCTAGTAATGTATGAGTCTGTTGATTTGATTGTCAGAAACTCTCTCATACACCTGGGCATAGAGGAGCTGGAGACGGAAAACTGTTTTGAACAGGATGACATTCAAATGTTAATAAAATTTCAAAAAAAATGTTAAAGGAGAGCGTAATTAGAGCGTTGTTGGGTGCAATGACATTCAATAATTCAATTTTCCTGGATATTCAACTCTCCCGAAACAACAATTTTAGCTTTACAACTTTTCACATCTATTTGATCGAAACAAAAATGGTATTCAAGCAGCTCGACGAAACAAGTGAGTAACTCCCATAGCCCATTACATAATCAGAAAATTAAATAGGCATATACCCATGAGAAGATAAATTATAATTTGCAATAATAATAGTATACTTGTTTTTTAATCAACTAGTATTTAGTTTTTTATGAATATCTTCTAAAATTATAATTATGTACTTAAAAAAACGTTATAACCGAAATAGCCCCAGTTATGTCTAGGCTAGCAAAATCGGTTTGGTTTGGTTTGGTTAGCTTCATAATATCTATGTCTACGTTTTCTTAGGCACATGCCCCCCTTATGTTAAAAACAAAACAAAATTCCGAGTAGATTACCTTAACGGGTATACGCGCGAAAACATTCTTCCACGCACGCGTACCCCGTTCCATTTCCAGAAGCCGTGGAAATTCTTTCCTGTGTTCCGCAGTTCGGCGCGCGGGGTTTTCCGACGAACGACGACTGTCTTGTCGAGTCCAGGCCAGAAAGAAAACACGCCGAAAAGTTTAGAAGTTTTTCCGTTGACGGAAGAAAGAAGTTGCGGACAGTTTTAATTGTCTAGTCAGGATTTTGTGGCGTAATCTCGTGATCTTGAACTGGATAGTTTTAAGTGAAAAAGTTAGTTTGCTGAGAATTGAGAAATACTGACTCGATTTCTAACGCCGCTAAGTGACAGTTTATTAACTGGACTCGTATTGGCTCTTTATTTTTATATACGGTAAGTAACTGATATAATTATGTAGATTTACTTCGGCAGATTTTGGTTTTTGTAAAGAAATATATTTGATCGGTCATATAGCTTCAGTACGTTTGCATATTTTTATTCTATATATTATTACTATATCATCATTACAAAATATTGGAGACAGAAGAACAATGTTTTTGTAATAAGACGTAAAATATCTAAATTTAAATAGTTTAAGATAGACAAGGAGGTTTATTCATATCTAAATAAAACAGAAAAAATTTCAAACTCAAAATAATTAATTGGAAACTATTGAATCATTTTGACATGTTTTTTTCCGAATTAAAAAAGAAAACTAAATGGTACATAACTACCAAGCCACAAATTATTTTTTTCATAGAGAGCCGACAACGGGTTTTGTATAAAATTAATATTTCTGTAAAACGTAACCCTTATAGGATCACTTTGTCCGTCTATCTATTAAGACCCTTTTATCTGCAAACCATATACTCCGGTCTACAGTCCCTTGGAGCTGTGAAAAATTCAAACTTCTAAGTTAACGTACAAAAAATGCCGTAAAAACATATTTTAACACCCTCAAGGGAATCAAAATTTATATCCGTTGATCTAGAACTATGAAATTTGGCAAGTAATACCGTTTTATATTAAGTTATAAAAAATATAGTTTTTATTTTACAAATCCTTGGGTGGGCGAGCCCGACACGCTTTTAAAAGCTAAAAATATTAAAATGTTATAAGCAATAGTTTATTTCACTTTCATTATTAAGTAAAATTTAATTGCTGTAAAATTAATTAATATGACTTATCTTATAATTAATGAATTAATATTACTAAAAGGTAGTAATTGCAAAACCTCTAACGAGTGGTAGGGGACTCCAAACCGCACAATCTTTTCAAATGTTTATTTCAAAAAATAATTTTGTTTAAAAATGGGGCAACGTGTTTCGGGAATCAGTTACTTCCCATCGTCAGGCTCAAAAAGCTAAAATAATCGAAATCACAGTCAAAATAGACAAGCACTTTGAGAGAGCCATACAAAAAAGTCATGTTATAAAATACACTTACAAACAAAGTTAAAAAAGGTTAAAAATTTATTTCATTTTAATCAAGCGATTACGATTAATATATACTCACACAAAATTCACGCCAAAAAGCCACACCAACTCTGAAAAAATAAGATAGTTAGATTGTAGATATTCATTACAAAACTGTACTCGTAGTTGCTATTAATCTACTTTTTAAAAAAAAAATCTTCTTCGTTGTATTTATTAATAAAAGCTTAGACCATAGTTTTCAACACAGTCTTAAAATCACTTTTTTATTCAATATTTTTAATTTTTCTCCATCAAAGATGAGCGCCCAAACTGGTGCTGTGATACTGTTATATATAAGATTAAATTATTATTTATGTAGAGATTAAAACCGCGATATTCTATGTCCATATTCGATTTTTTTGAAAAAACGAGAACTGGTCGCAAGAAGAATTTTTTTAGTTGAAAAACTCATCTAAAATAAAATATTGAAAACTAGCATAAATGACCGCTATTTATATGTGTGGGGGAGGGGGGAGAGAAACAAAAAAAATGAGATTTCATCTCAATGTTCACCATTGACGGATATATTCGATACTTGGTAGGGTAGGTAGATAAAAGTTTAATAGGTAAAGTAAAAGTAAGTAGGTAAAAGAAGTTTTAGAGTTATACACTGTAATTTAATGCAAATTTAATCAATTAGTAATTGAAATAAAAATAAATATTTTAATAAGTAAAACTACTAACTAACAAATAAACATATCAAAATATTTGTGTTCCAGCTTTAGTTCCTGTAGTATTTTTACATTGTCCTAATGACAATGACGATAGTTGATAAAGACTCAGACACTTTTGATCTAGACACTCCAAACCCTGAAATGAGTATGAGAAACCCTTCACTAACCCAACAGGTTTTTAATTTTTTTAGCTGGCATTAGAAAAGATACCCTGTTTTTCTAGGGAAACAGTTACCAACAGCGGTTAAACGCAGGTTAGTTAGTATAAAAAGTTAGAAAATAATTGTTGTTTTAGTGGAGTATTGCTGGAGTGTCTGTATTAGAAAATTCTGTTTGAAGTGTGGCCTTTTGTATTAATAATGTTGATTTCAGAAACATCATTTTTCGGTTTTGGCAAACACATTAATGAGGTCTTATTATAAGAATTAATATGTATAATAAATAAATGTAAAATAATTGGGATAGGTTTTTGTTTCAATAAATAATAAGCGTTAATTGTACTGAAACTAATATTGTTTTATATATAAATATTATTTGAGACCTATGTACACAATTTAATCCATAAAATAAACACTTTGTTTACTCGAGAGATTTATTGATTAGTATACTAATTAGCTTGTTAATTTCGTGATTGATTAAGAAATATTATTGACAACATGGATTACAATAAAAAAACAAACAGCAATCACGGCGCGTCTCGGTCATAAATTTCTCCATAAAGTTGGCCCGAGGAATATCTGTAATTTTTATTATACATACTTTTTAGGAGGTGCTGTTTTACATCTTCGAGCTTTGTCTTAAGTGGATTCCGACAGCAATGCCCCAAACGAAGAACTATATCGTAACTTTGATTCCACCAAAGAATAATACATTATATTCAGTTATTTTATATCTAATATTTTTTCTAAATATTTAATTTCACTAATTATCATTCCGAAAGTTTTTGTATTGTTTAAAATATAAACATTCCATCGTAAATGTTGGTCTACCAGTCTACATGTGCGCCTTATTATACTAGATACTCGTGTGATCTATGCGAATAGAAGAAATGTGTGTTTTTTGAAATGTATGGTCAAGAGCTTGATCAACTGCTCTAATATCTGTCTAAAATTTGTTTTTTAACTCTGCCCAAGTATCAGCATGAAATACAATTGCAGTGTTAAGAAAGATTAGTCGTTAACCCGCCGTTACACGCGTCTCTTACTGTAACGTCGTTGCACGCGTGTGAGCGTTTCCCTCACATACATAAATTTAAATAGTATAATGGGCGAATGAATATCAGTATGCACAAAATTACATAATCTTATATGTACAAATAAAAGAAAGTCTCATAATCCATACTAATTATATTTATTTATCAAAACAAAGTGAATACCTAAATGATAATACAAACCTGCGTGAAAAGTTTCATAGATAACGAATACATCTACTCAGATTCTTCTCTCTATTTTTCAATAGGAAGTATACAAAGTTTTTGTATGCTTCTTGCAAATCGCCCACAGTTTACACATATACGTACATCTTACAGAACTTTGTCTGAGTCTTTCGGTTTTTTTCTCTTAGGACAGTAGGCACATTTATTAGACTCACGATGCACTTCCAGCGGCGCAGCTTTATCTTCAATCTCCAAATGGTCCCTAATTTGCATTCTCAACAATACGGAGAGTATTCTGATATATGCTCATAACATTTGATGAGGCTTAATCAGCTCGAAGAGCTCGAAGGCTAAGTTTTTTAAATATTTACGTCGTGCCATTTCAATACCCAGTCTTTTCAAAATATAATCATATTATATATCATATATTAATATGATTATTAGGTAATTAATAATCATATTTTAGTAAAACATCACAAACTTACCAAAATATTTGAACAAAAACCAAAATTGTACGTGAAATTACAGACGAACGTGATTGCACGCGCAGTGAGGAAAACGCTCACATCAAGTACACTATCACTTCGATCAGATGGGGTACCATACTGATCGCTCTAAATATTCTGCAACGTCATTCCTCCTTACTTAAAAACGATGCCGAAGGCATACCTGGACGCTCAAGGTTATTGTATTAACTACAACAATTTCCTCGTACAAAAACCAATGTTGTGAGGGATTCCCTCATAGCGCGTGTAACGGAGGATTAATAATTCTTTTATGAGAAGTAAGACAAGAACTGGTCTGAGTACTGTGCCTTGCGGAATACCATAATGAATTGTTCTGTTATTACTTATAAAATCGCCTATTTCGACACATTGTATTCTATCATTAAGGTAGCTTGGAAATAATTTTAATGTTGTACCTGTACTTCCAACTGCTTCTGGTGCATCTAAAAGATATTTGTTGTTGACGATATCAAAAGCCTTTGCTAGGTCTAAGAAAACTACAAGAGCAGGTTGAGTCTCATCCAGGCTTTTGTAAATAGTTTATGAGAGCAAGGATATTGCATCTTCTGCTGATCCCCGTGTTAATATTACTTTCAGCAATAAGTGATACTTGATAATTGCATATTATGGTGTTTGTTCGATGACAAAAAAAACTATTTCTTTCTTAGTTGCTTACAAATGGTTTGACTAAAAACTTAAATACTGTTTTGTGTCTGTCGGTTTTCTATATACAGATGTGCCAATATATTCTCCCCGCAAATACTTTAGAAATGTTATTAAATAAGGAAATTATAAAGTCGTTCGGTTTCCATCTCCATCATTCTAATTAACATTAAAGTAGTAATACTTTGCGTATATTTACAAGAGAGGCTTAATGAGACAGCTTAATGAGGAAATTTGCAAGAGTTAATGCCTCTAAGCTTTATTAATAAAAGGGTTCTCAAGAAAACATTATAAAGGGTTAAGAACTTCATAATCATAACCGCCTCGAGGCTCATAGTAAAGGTAGCTCTAATTTAATATAAAACATTTAAACTTTCACGCTGACATTTATAAGTGTTCAAATACAAGTGTTCTACAGTTAGGTTTCGTTTTAGTTCTCAAGAGTAAACTAATAGCTTTAGTATTTCTGGAATACATCATGGTTTTAAGAAATTAAGTTTCTTGGAATCAATTAAAATTGGTTTCGTTCTTGTTATAATAACTAGTAAAATCAATTATAAGTTATAATACATTTTGAAATGAAAATCAATAAAAAAATAATTACACTAATATTTAGTACAATTTCACTCAAATGGTATGGAAATAAAACTATTTTGTGTTTCTCAACCAAGTACACTTGAATGCTGTCAGCACTTAAAAT